TCGTAATAACCTCATATTAATTTATATTTATTTATTAGTCCCTATTCAGACACAGTCCGAAAACAAGGGCTTGTGTGCATGCATCACCACCTGCATCTCAAACTTCACAAAGCCTTTATATAATTCATTTCATGATCCAATTCAAGAGAGCTGAATTGACGCAATTTTAATGTTAAAAATTTATCAAAATCAATCATTCGGAAATCAGATTTTGTTTATGTATGGATGTTTCATTCAAGCTTCACATATACATCATACCTAACGTCACACATGTGCATATTTATTTATTTGGTTATCTGATTCAAGATGGCTGAATTGCATTTGTTTTAATGCTAAATTTCATCAAAATCAAGCATTTCTGCATTTGCATCTCAGTCATACATGTTTAATAAACTTTATGGGTCTTCAATGCACATCACTTAAGATGGCCGACTGGTGGACATTTTGTTTTAGTGAATGCACATTGACTATGTAATGCATTTAATAGATTTATAATAAATTAGATAAATTAAAGTTAATAATGAGATGAGTGTCTTAATGTGTGAATTTGATATCAGTTTTATAGTTTCTGTCTACCAATAAAATTGAGATCATTTAGCCTATCAAAATATTGTTTTTAATTATCCAGAATTCCATTTTTCATCTCAAGCACTGGTTACGCAATTTACATTTCACTTAGCAACTAATTTTTTAGCACTGTTGTTATCTTAGATGACAGAGCAGAGTTGTTCATATAGGTGATTGCCCGTTGTTCATCAACGATTGCATTTTCACTTCTTCTTGAAAACACCAGCTCAATTGTTTTGATACTTGGTATGTAGGTACCTTGGGTAGACCTCAGTCAGATTTGTTCATTTCGTGACAATATCTTCCATTCTCTATTTTCAGGGAATATTTTTGTCATTTTGGTAAAAAATGCTATTTTCAAATTTCTCTTGAAAACAACCATCTCAATTGCTTTGATACTGGGTGGACCTTTAATATGAGCAAATAGTTTTTGAGTTAGACCATAGCCAGTCCAAACCCACCCTTATGAAAATGTTCTGTAGAATTTCTATGGGATTTATATAGAGTTTAATGAAGTTTTGACACCTTGTTCTAATTTTATATATACGACACTTTAGAATTGATGAATGTTACATCATAATTTTTTTTTACTGATATTTGCAAATAGTCAGACTGTAACAGTACAAATTTTTAATACAATTTCTCCAAATTCTTTTATAAGTAATTCTACAGAAAATCTGTACAACACACTCCATTAATAAACTATTGAAGATCTATAAAATTCTTTAGAAATTCTGTAGAAAATCCATAGGAATCTATAGAATTGTACAGAAAATCTGCACTGATTAACTGGTCGCAAAAGCTAAATTTAAACCATATACAAAAGTTACTTCAAATATGATTTTCAGTTTATAGCATTGAGTGTTCAATTTAGAAAATGTCACCCACAGATATGCCAGTCAAACTTCAATTGTTTCTTTCTTTGACTAACGTGTCTCTTCAATGTCCATATGTTTTTTTTTTATGTTCGTCATTTCTAATGATCATATGTACTGTGTACATTATTTAACTACTTTTACCTAAAAGTACAAATCATGGAACCCTGTTGTTCCTTATTTTGTTTTCCCCTAGAACATTAATTTTTCCATTCATCATGCGAGGTGGCAAACCCACACCAACTTTTCCATTCCTACTGGCACTTTTTTTCTGTTCATATAATGGTTTTATGCAAAGTAGAACTTTGACACAATATGCTGTTTATGGTAGGAATTGGACATCTAATCCAGCTTTCATTATTGGTAAGTATCTACAAACCATTATTAAAGTAGACCTACGTGACTGCTTTGATGTATCAATACCTGTAAATCTTGTAAAGTAACTGATATGACAGGATTATTTAATACAGTTGTATTTAGTAAGGAACATCATTGCATTTCAAATTCAAATTGCTAAGTCATTGACTGTAGATGTTTAGATCAGTACCAGTGCAACTATCAATTCATTGCTAAGTCATTGACTGTAGATGTTTAGATCAGTACCAGTGC